CCCGACGAACTGGTAAGAGCTGCACGGGCCTCATCCATCCGGAGATCTGTGAGAGCGCATCTGTTGCTCCTCTAGAGGTTTCTTTTTCTTTGCCAGAAAAGAAACCTTGTGCCTACTTAACAAGATTTCTCCGTGCCCAAAGAAAGTATTTAAACCCCCCCGACGCTTGCATGACAGCTAACAGTCACTCCCTAGGTTTTGACCCGACTTTGTGATAAGCCTGTGTTCTTCACATACTGTTTCTTCACAGTACACAGAACAGGATCAGATTAGAGCTTTTTTTAAGAAACCTGATAGCTCTCTGGAAAGAGTAATCAAACTCTAGATAATGCAGACTTAAGCAAAGTTTAAATGGTTTACCAGAATTATTTGACAACTGTGTCCATATTATGAAGTCAAGAGTTTTAATTTTTTAAATGAAAAATAACTCAAATATTTCCATATGCTTATAAAAATTTCCCACCTGCTTATGCCGATGCTGTACCCTCAAATTGATGGATACTTCGAGTGTTTACCGTCTTCCCAGATTTGCTCTTGAGGATACTGAGAAGAAATTTACGAAGGGTTAAAATAAACTTTTCTTCTTTTTTTCTCTGTAGTAAACTATGTTTAGTCACTTTGGAAACAGTATCGCCTGTTCCATATTTGTGTCAGTGCATATTTTTTGTTGTGTAAACTGCTTTGCTGTTTTTTTTTTTTTTTTTTTGCTGTATTTCCTTGCTCTTAAGCTACTGTTTTGTCATGATTGTCATAAAAATTGTGTTCAGTAGCAAAGTAAGCATCTTTCAAGCTTAGCTTCAGTAATTGTTCAGCTGTTTTTATTGTATGTTGTTTTACTAGGAATACAAAAACAATGGTATTTTTATGGATTTCTGCAGCATGTGGGGAAGAAAATATCTGAGAGTCACTGTGTATGATACTCTGAAAAGTCAGTTCAAGATGTAGTGGAAAAGAAAAAAGTAAATAGAATAATAGAAATTATCACTTAAGGAATGAAATGCAGAATAAAAGACCGTATTATGCCAGTATATTAATCCTTCATCCAAATTTGAGTGTTCTGTTCTCTACTGCCGTTCCGGACTCTCCCTCGGCTGGCACGTGTCACTGTGTTTGCACTGACCAAGGAGGTGGAGGAAGAGCAGCGGAGATCATTGCATATACATGCAATAGCCTTGATATAAGGAAAGCAAGAGCATCCTATGCAGATGTATTAATGGCAGTGTAGTCTAAGGAGTTGCTGTGCTTCTCTCTTTCTGGTGCTAATATTCACTTGTACAGATGGGTGGGTCAGTTAGTCTCTGACCAGAGTATTACCATGATCAAGCTGTCTTGCTTGGGGACAGGAATTGCAGCTTTGATCAGAAGGTGGCAAAAGTGGTTGTTCAGGGACAACTGTCGAGCATGACAGCAGGTGGAGGAATGAGGAGGTAGTTGCACTGCAAGTCTGTAAAATCATCAGTCATATGAAGGTGAATAACCCCAGTCTCCACAAAGCTGGAAACTAGGAGAGTATTCTACTAGTTTTGACTGCTTTCTTGTCCTATGCATGTACTTTATCTGGGCATCTGAAAGACTGCTGTTCTATCTATGAGTTTGTTTTATTTTATTTGTTTACTTATGCTGTGTCTGGCAATTGTACAACCTTCATTTGATGGATATAGGGAAACTGGAGCAGAATGGGATGCTAGTTGTATCATCTTTATCTTAACAGCTGGTGCAACCTGATGTTTTACTCCTCAGTGCTCAAAACAGGTGATAGAAGAAAGTCGCAAGATTTAATTGAGGCAAGAGTAAAGAGATGTTAGGAAGAAGGAAATGCTTGAAAGATGCTAATTAATCCTATCTTGAGGTTTATTAGTGGTTTAATCATGCTTGATTAAGTTAACCTATCTTTATGTTCCTCACTTAGAAAGTTTGATTAAAGCAGATACTCTATGATTTTTTTTCTTCTTTTTTGTCTTTAATTAGCTGGGGAATAAAATATTTGCACAGAGATGTACTCGTGCTTCTTGCAATTATGTCTGGGATGCAGCCAGGTGGATTGAAGCATGTGTGCCTACACAGATGGTTATTACCATTAGGATAGTTCCATGCTTTTTCTTGAAGATGGAGCTCTCTTTGGGATTACTGAAGGTTCACTACTTTTAACTGTCCGAAACGGCAGTTTTACATTGCTCACTTCTTAGTATGCTTGCAAAGTACACCAAGGTAGGTAACTGCTGACCACATAGGAAATTTAGGATTCCCTGCCACTAAAAAGTGTACTTCAATAAAAACTGCTGGTTTCATGTGGCAAGTGAAAGTACTGGTTTATTTTGTATGCATTTTCTCTTACCAATTCAATATCTATTTGAATATCTGAAAAAGAAAAGCAGCTCTTCAGTATCTGGAATGGTTATGGGGAACCTGTTGCTTTTTATTTGGAAGCACATTTTATAGAAGTTGCACATGCTAAAAATTGGCCTGGTGAGCTTAAAATGAGAGCATTTCCATTTCTTTTTAGCTTTTTGAAATGAATGACAGAATATTCTGTGTTGGAAGGGGCCTACAAGGATCAGCAAAGTCCCAAAAGGCTTGACTTAATATAGAAAAAAGGCTTAATACAAGAAAAAATAAGTCTACTATTGTGATATACCTTTAGTTACCATTCTAATTTTTTTGTGAGTGACCAACATTCTGGTGTTGTCATTCGATTTACTCTGCAATTGCTAATAATTGGAGTGGGGAAGAGGGGAGAGCAGGGCTTACATGCATTATGTAAATGCATGTAAATTAAACCAAATTCCATTTCTGGAAAAGTAAAGATCTCCAAATAGTCTTCTAACAAAGACCTTATGATGACCTTATTTTTGAGGTATGGTTTTTTGTTTGTTTGGGGTTTTTGGAGGGAGAAGGATGGGGAGGATCTTATGGTTTTGATATTTTTTCTTCTTTTTAGCAGGAGCTGGGGGAGTTGTTTAATTTCCCTTGTTTGGAGAGAGTGATATGTTAATGTAAGATAATTGTGAGTTCGATTTTCTGTTAATTCTTGAGACACTGAAGTTTTTCCAAATGTCTTGAACTCCACTTCCCACCACTTGAATATTCTACATTCTTTGTGAAATTTTCTCTGCAATTTTGAGACCTTCATTTAAGATTGTTACTTGATCCCAGAAGGTGATGTTTACAATTTAAGAAAACAAAACAAAACTAAAAAACAAACAGCCCCCCAAACAAATTAATAGAAATGGCCCACAGAACAAATCCTGTGCAACAATATGGGAATTGATACTGTTGGAATTTATTTGAATTCTCATAGGAATATAGCAGTGGTACTATAACATAGGTGAGGACAGGAAACAGTATAACTAGTGTCTGAGTTAAACTGGGGCATTACTGTGGATTTGGTGGTGTCTTTGAAGATGAGAAGCTGTAGATTTGTTCTTTCTACCCATTGCAGTGATGAGTGCTTGAAGATGACACTGAGTTGGGCAGGAATGCTTGTCTGCTGTGGTGCAGGAAGGCTCTCCAGAAGGATCTGGACAGGCTGGATTGATGGGCCAAGAGCAGTGATACGAGGGCCAACAAGGTCAAGTGCTGGTCCCGCCCGTGGGTGACAGCAGGCCCATGGACTTCTCAAGGCTGGGGGAAGAATGACAAGAAAGGGCAGGGTGTGCTGGTCGACGGGCTGAATATGAGCGCACATGACAA